GGAGGAGGTGCCAAGAGCAAGCAGACAGAATCACACAGAGACCCACAGGCTTCCAGACCCGGGACATGCGCCAGAACACAATGATCACTGAGAGGGGGATAACAAGTCAGAGGAGCCCTCTGGTCATCCAGCTTCCTGACTAAGGACAGTTTTCAGGCCTCAGTGCAGGGAGGGGAACTCAGGTAGAGATCAGTCATCTTCTTGAGTTGAGAAGATAGAGGCCGAGACGACTAGCGCTGGCTGGCAAAGGACTAAAGGGAGAAAGCTCAGAAGTCAGCAGAGGGGGTGATGGAGTCTTCAGCAGGGTAACGAGCGTCACATGGATGTCAGAGGAAGCAATACTGGGCAGAAGACCTACCCAGGGCAGAAAGAGTTTATGTTCCACCAGCCAGGGTACAACTCTTGTAATTTCCAGACACTGAGTAGACTATTCAGAAGAACACTGCCTGTGCTGGGTTAGTTCTGCACTGATCACTGGGCTGTCCTCTCTAACAAAGCTTAAAAGCAAGTCTAAAAAAATAAAATAAAATTATTTCAAAGTCACTAAATAGTATCTCAGAACAAAGTCAACAATATTTATAGGAATGCAAAACTACAGAGCAATTATGCTACATGACTGGCACCATAAAAAATTGTAAAACAAACAAACAAAAAAAAAGCAAGAAATACAACCCCAAATGAGGAGATATAGGAACCAGTCAAAACTTATCCAAAAATAACATATATGGTAGAATTAGTAGAAAAGATCATTAACTTACTTTCACAACTATATTCCATACATTTAAGAAGGTAGAAAAAATTAAGTATGTCAAGTAAAGACATTATCCCTATTTAAATTAGGAATAAAAAATAAATTAGGGATGAAAAGGACAACATCTGAAATGAAAAATAAACTGAACAGGAGTAACATTACATTAGACCAATGGAAGAAAAAAATCAGTGAACTTGAGGACACAGGACTAGAAACTATCCAAAATTAAACATTAAAAAATGACATGAATAAATAATATAGTGTCATTTTGCTGTAGGGTAAGATTAAGTGACCTTGTACATATGCAATTGAAGTTCCCAAAGGCAGTGGTTGATACTTGAAGAAAAAATGGTTAAACACATTTCCACATTTGGTGAAAGTTAAAAACCACAGATCCAAGAATAACAACAAATTCCATGTATGTGAATAACAAAAAAAAAAAAAAATTACATCAAAGCTCAACATAATCAAGTTGCTTAAAAGCAGTAAAAATAAACAAACAAACTTAGAAGTAGCCAGAGAAAAAGCCATTACTAACATACAGAACAAAGATTAAAAATAACAGTAAGCTTCCAGCTGGAAAGAATGCAAACAGTGAAACTAAATCTTTAAAATCCTAATGAAAAGAACAGTCAACCCAGAATTCTGTACCTAGTGAAAATAAAAATACCTTCCAAAAATAAAAGTGAAAAAAATACACACTTTTTCTGACATACAAAGGCTGAAAGAATTTATTGCACTACGAGACTTACACTACTACTAATGTTAAAAAAAAAAAAAAAAAAAAAGAAGTCCTGGGCTAGGGCTGGGGCTTAGTGGCAGAATGCTTGCCTGGCACGTGTGAGGCCCTGGGTTTCACCTTCAGCACCACATAAAAATAAATAAAAAAATAAAGGTATTGTGTCCATCTACAACTAAAAAGTATTAAAAGAAAATAAGTCCTTCAGATAGAAGAAAAAGAGTATCAGATGGAAATCTACCCCACAAAAAAGATTGAAAATCAATTATATTGGTAAATACATGGATAAATATAAAATGTATCTTTTCTTACTTTTAAAGGTATGTCCCTAAAAGATTAATACTAAAATAAAAATAGCAACAGTGCCTTTTGAGATTTATTACATAGAACGAAGTAAAATGTACAATAGTAACACAATGGTAGAGATAGGGAAATGAATATGTACTACTGTAAGATTCTTAGTATATAAAGTGCTGCAGTGTTATTACATACGGAGACTATGAGAAGTTAAAAATGTATACTACAAAATCTAGAGCAACTACTAAAAACAGAGAAGAGCTGGCAGGTATACAAACACACACACACAAACAAAAAAAAAAAAAAAAAAAAAAAGAAAGAAAAAGAAAACAGAGAACATAATGATAGCTTTGAATCTGACCATATCAACAATTACATGAAATGGCCCCAACATACTACTTAAAAAGCAGAGATTATCAGACTGGATTACAAAGACCCGACTATATGCTGCTTACAAGAAATCCTTTTCAAATATAAAGATACAGAAAGTTGAAAATAACACACTAATGCCAGTCAAAATACCACTGGAGTTGCTATATTAATATCAGACGTGAATTTCAGAGCAAAGAATATTTCTACAAAGACAGTCATTTCATAATGACAAAGGGACTAATTCATATAACAACCCTATACATACCTAATAGTATATCTTCAAAATACAGACAGTAAAAAATGATACAAGTATAAAAAAATACAGGCAAAGCTACAATTATTGTTAGATATTTTAATGCCTCTCTTTCAAAAATGATAGAAGTTTAAAAAAATCAGTAAAGATACAGAAGATCTGAAAACTATTGACAGCGAGCTTGATCTAGTTGATATTTATACAACACCTTCTACATAATTTGGACAATATATTCTTCTCCTGTGCACAGGAACATTTACCAAAACACATCATGTTTTGAGCCTTAAAACAAGTCTCAATAAATTTAAATTAATTTCCTCTACAAAGTATGTTTTGAACATAGTAGAATGAAATTAAAAATCAATAACAGAAAGATATATGGAAAGTCTTCAAATATTTGGAAATTTAAAAATTCTTAAGAATTAATGAACAGCACTACCTGTTTTGAAAAGATGGTACATTCCTTTTTTTTCAATATGACTATTATATAAGCTACATGATTTTTGCTTCATCTATCAAGAAGCAGAGGGCTGGGGGCTGGGATTGTGGCTCAGAGGTGGAGCATTCTTTTGTATGTGTGAGGCACTGGGTTCTATCCTCAGCAACACATTAAAAAAATAAATAAATATACAAAATAAAGTTAATTTAGAAAAGCACAGGGCTAAACAAAAAGTTTAATCAAAATAATCATATCTACTCTTATATTATTCATTTGTTCAACTCAGTTTGAACACACAGTATGTGAGTGTATAGAATCCAGAAATACAAAGTGAATTTAATACAGTCCTTGGTCTAAAGCCCATTTTAAAGCTAGGGTGTAGTGAACAGTATATTTGTAAACTCCAACTATTTTCATTTAATTAAAGTCTCTACTTTGTAAAACATATCCTTTTTAAAAATTTGCCTTTAATTCTTTCCAGAAACAGCTGCTGGTCCCTTGCCATTCCCAACTAAGTAATCATGCACAAGAATTTTAACATTATCCTATGTTAAACATGATTTAAAATGTATGAAATTATTTAAAAATGGATAATGTACTTGTAAGGCAAAACAATTATAGTTTTTTGGACAATTTATAGCAGTGTTCTTCTCTCTTGGAATAAATAACCTAAATGTGACTATCTGTAAGTATACCATCAGCAACAATCTAAGATTATTAGCATACAAGAAACAAATAACTGAATAAGTGGGAAAACAGTGCTGAAGTTGTTGTTGGTGTTCTGTTACTGCAAAGGGAGCTCAGGAGGGAAAGAAAAGAATCCAGCACCAGGGTGGTGTAACATCTGCACTTGGTGAGCTCAGGGGAAGATGGGGATAGAGCCTGCTCCTAGAGTTTCAATCTTGGACCTCAGTTTTCTCCTATAAATAGATGAATACAATACATTTACAATAGATGACCTCCAAGGTCTCAATTCTACAATTCTGTGGACCTAGTTTGGTTGAAATACAAAAGAACATACTCTAAGAGGGAAGCTCTGTTGTACCTCCTCACCATAAGCTATTTAAGTTATTAAAATGACTAATGATGCCACATCACACATTCTAGGTGCTATACTACGTGTGATATGGAAAAAGAACTCTGGACTGTGCTAGTAATCTGAAGATATAAGCCTTAGTTTCAGTTTAATCTTTATAAAAGGTATAAGCATTTGCAAATTAATTGTTCTAATCCTTAGTTTCTTCAGGAAAAGATAAAGAAAAATAAACTATTCAAGTGTTAGGGAAGGAGACCAGTTTCTCGCTGTGAAGAGTTACAAAGTCCTTTTGGAAATATCCCTTGAAAAGACAGAGAACAGAGGGATGAGCAAGGGTAGTGACTTTAAGACTATCCAGTATAGTAGGGGACATGAGCTTTAGAGTTAAACAGACTTCTTTACGAAAGAAGTCCTTCCTCTTCTAACCCTGTGACCTTGGACAATTCAGGTTTCTGAGTCTCAATTTCCTCAAATTTAAAATAGGTAGGATTACTCTTCAGCTTTAAGGATTAAAGGTAATAGTTATAAAACATCTAGCATTATACCTGGCATATAATAGTCACACAAAAAATAAATGCTTTCATTATTAAAGTCAAGGAGGGCCCGAGAGGAAATAATCAACTAGTAAAGCAGAGGATATGTATGTAGAGGCACCAAGGGACAAATCTGCAGAGGGCCTGCCCAGGTTGCTATCCAAGAGCACAGTGTTAAAAGGGGTTTGTGGGGTTTGGACTTCAAGTTATAAAGGGCTCAGTCATAGTACAATTCAAGACAGTCCATCAGCAAACTTGAACTTTTAAATAAGGGAATTTGTAAGCTGTGGCAGATAAGGAGAAAAGGAAATGCATGAGCGCTAAGGTTCTGAGCTGCATTACGAGGAACACAGGGAGGCAGCTCAGCAGAGATCAGGGAAAGAACTTTCTCTTGAGAAGAGCTACAATGCAAGGAGCATTGTACTTAAGACACCTCCCCCGCCATGCCTGAATGTCACAACAGGGCCACCTGAACCTTAAACCATTCCATCTCCTCTCTGACAATACCTGTGACTCAAGCTAACAAGAGAAAGGAAAGCAGTAAACATCAAGAATTTCATAAAATAAACCCAGTGCTTACCTTTACAGCTAATATTTTCCCACTTGGAACATGATATGCTCTATAGAAAGAAAAAAAACAATAACAGTTACTTGAGATCACTAAACGACCTATAAAATGGTTAAGGACACAAATGTCAATTCAAACATTTCTGCAGCAATGGGAGACATACGTGGTACTTTCAAAGAACATTAATCATGTTAGTCATTTATATTTCTGTGGAGCTTAATGGTTTAAAACCAAAGTGATTCATTATACATTACCTTAAAATAACCCTCCAAGGTAATACTGGTACTATTATCCTCCTTTTATAGATGAAAACTCTGAAGCAAAGAGAAGTTAGGCAGTTTGCCCAATGGCGCAAAGTGAGTAGGGACAGATCTAGACCTCAAACCCCGGTCTTCTGGCTCCAGATCATTTATGACTGTTATTGTAGTGTGCGTGGGTGGAGAAGAGGTTATCTACAATTCCATGCTAAGCACAGAATGGAGGCATGTAAAATGGGAAGTTTTGCTTGTGTCTCTTTCAATTACATATGCAGATAAACCAACCACACCACCACATTTCATCAAAATAATCATAAAACACATAGAATTAGTTTTGGATGACAATATAATTCCATATAAGGAATCACAGTTATAATGCTCAAGCATGTGGCTCTTCTTAAGCAGAAAGGTAGGCTCCAAGTATCAGATACAGCAAAATAATTACAACTTAAATCAAGAAATATGAACAGGGCCTTGGTGTAGCTCAGTGGTACAGAGCTTAAGTAGCAGGTGCAAGGCACTGTGTTTGATCCCCAGCCCTGCAAAAATAAATAAATAAATAAATAAAAGAAATGTGAATACATTAATTTATGAAAAAAGCGTAAGAGAATAAAAATTGTGAAATAAAATACCATTCACCAAGCCCTACTGTGTTTAAATGTAATGTGGTCTTTAACACATACATAGGATGGACCACATATTCTGACCATTATCCAGAAACAAACTGACTTGCATTAAAATTTCAAAACCATGTTACATAAACAACTTCATAACTGCAAGCCCATAAAAGCATAAAAAGACAAATTAGTTTGGAAGAACTAAAATATGCTCTGTAGAAGATGTCACACACATCCAGCTAGTGTTAAGACATGCACAGCTAGGGACCACGTGAGGGAAACAGAAGGAAATACTTCAGGAATGTCTTGTCCTCGTTTGTTTAATTGAAAAATAAATTTATCAGGCCCCTAAACTGCTCATTTCTTAAAAATAAAAATAAAACTTCTATATTCCACTATTACCAAAATGGAAGCATCATTTTTTGCTATTCTGACAAATATATTTGGTTGCTCTGTCAAGTTATAAAGTTTTATTAAGGTATAATCTATATAGGATAAAATTCACTTGTTTTAAGGGTACAATTTAATGATTTTTAGTAAATTTATAGAGTTAAGCATCACTGATGCTTTGGGAGTGAATGACTTCTAGAAATGGTTGTTATTAAATGCCTACAAAGAAAAACAGGGAAACAAACACACACACACACACTCTTATATATCAATAAATTGATATATAAAGACATGCACTATACTTTTCTCAATGCCTAACAGGGAAGTTGGGACTATGTTAATTTGAAATGCAATTTAAGGAATTTAGTAACCTTATTCCATGTAAATATACCAGTTTCTTCCCAGAACTTTTTAAATACTGTGTATTGGGATCATTAACCAAGGACTGAAATAGGAAGAGAAATAGTTGAATGCATAAACAAGGATTTGAAAGTTGTAAAAAGAGCAGTGTTGTTACTTTGAGCAACAAGCAACACCTGGACTTCTGAGACCAGCTGCAGCGATAAGGAAATGATTAGCAGATAATCTAATATATATACCATACTGGGCAGTTTGGCAACTTAATTAGCTTGTCAAGAAAGCTGATCTCTTTTCCAAAAGAAAGGTCTTCTATTTCCAACTGAATTAAAAGGGGGAGGCTTGATGATTTAATTATGACGCACGCTAATTCATCCGTGGAAGTTTGGGTTCGATTTCGAGCAATAAAGATGCTGTGTGGCTTGGTTTACAGTGCAATGACAGTACCAATTTAACATTTAATCATCAAGAAGGGGATGACGGAGGCAATGCCAGGCATGAGTCGGTATGTCCCTTGACTCTGCAAATGGCATTCTACCTGGAGAAAAGGAATTTGTTTACTTCCAACAGATACTGCATCTCAATTGGATACTGCATCTCAACTGTCTTGACCTTCCTCAACACATTAACTGTAAAGTGATTAATGAAGTTTGAATGGAGGCTCTGGTTACACCAAAAGACATCTATACACCTCCGCAATGTTTTAATTAACAGCTAACACTTCAAATTAGTTTGTTGTTGCCACAGTAATTACCTGTTCCAAAGAGTGCATGGAGGAAGCATTTTTATGAGATATTTGTAGTGCTTAGTCCTTGAGTGTTCGCTTTTGTTTGTGACCATCACATGTCTTCTGGACATAGTCCCAGCCCTTAAAATTGAGCACACAGCATATACACTTTACAATGGCAAAAGCCAGGAGTCTGGTGTAAAGTTTTGGATATATAAAAATAACAAAAAGATTAGCACAAGAGAACATTTAATATCCATACTTCCTCACTTTCTTTTATTATTTTTTGTGATGCTGGGAATCTAACCCAGGGCTTCAGACACACAGGAAAAGTGCTATAGAAAGGAGCTACATCTCCATGCTACAGAGACACTGCTACATCGATGTTCATAGCAGCACAATTCACAATAGCAAGACTGTGGAACCAACCTAGATGCCCTTCAATAGACGAATGGATAAAAAAAATGTGGCATTTATACACAATGGAGTATTACTCTGCATTAAAAAATGACAAAATCATAGAATTTGCAGGGAAATGGATGGCATTAGAGCAGATTATGCTAAGTGAAGCTAGCCAATCCCTAAAAAACAAATGCCAAATGTCTTCTTTGATATAAGGAGAGTAACTAAGAACAGAGTAGGGACGAAGAGCAGGAGGAGAAGATTAACATTAAACAGGGATGAGAGGTGGGAGGGAAAGGGAGAGAGAAGGGAAATTGCATGGAAATGGAAGGAGACCCTCAGGGTTATACAAAAGTACATACAAGAGGAAGTGAGGGGAAAGGGAAAAATAATACAAGGGGGAGAAATGAATGACAGTAGAGGGGGTAGAGAGAGAAGAGGGGAGGGGAGGGGGGATAGTAGAGGATAGGAAAGGCAGCAGAACACAACAGACACTAGTATGGCAATATGTAAATCAATGGATGTGTAACTGATGTAATTCTGCAATCTGTATATGGGGTAAAAATGGGAGTTCATAACCCACTTGAATCAAAGTGTGAAATATGATATATCAAGAAATTTGTAATGTTTTGAACAACCAACAATAAAAAATTAAAAAAAAAAAAGAAAGGAGCTACATCTCAAGCCCTCTTACTTCCTTTTCCCCTTGGAACAGTAAATTCTAGATGACTGAACAAAGAAGCTGGTAGCAATCTTTAATCTTGACACAGAACCAGAGTTTATTGAGCTAGTAGAGAATATAGAAAATGACCAAATCAAATCCCTTTCTTTCACAGTAGAAACACCCAAAAAGCCAGGTTAAATTACTTGTCCAAGCTCACCATCAGTAGCAAAGCCAAGACTGAAACCATGGCAGGATTTACCTACGCTAGCACCTGAAGGTAATGTGATGGGAAGTTTTCCTGGCTGTACTCTAGGACAGTGAAACACACAACGCACAATGTACAAAAGTACAGATTTATTTCAGTCAAGCTCAGGACCATCATCACATCCAAATCTCTCCAGGCAAGGAAGCATTCTGCAATGGCCACCAACCTATCCCGGAGGCAGAAGAGCAAAGTGTGTGAAACCAAACACAGTGCCTGGTTCTCACCCCAGCTCTGCCACCTCTTAAACACCAGAGCATGACCACTAGTAAACCTCACTCTGTATCGGTCTTATCAAGTCTGGAATAGGTAAAGTAGTTTCTACTTAACAGAGTTGTGAGAATTCAATGAGATAATACTGAGGACAGGACCTGACACTCAGGAAGCATCCACTAAATGTTATGAGCTAGGAAGCCTGCAAAGTAGCCGAGTGTTTTAAAGAGTAAAACCATAGCCTGAAAGAGCAATAAGATCTCTCAGCTTCAATCAGTTATACAGTCCACAAATGAACATCTAATAAAGCTTTAGATGAAGAACTGGCAAAACATTGAAATAAATCATTCATTATAAAGAAAAATTGTATTACTTCGTGTTGAACCAACTTTGAACACAAAGAATTAAAGCAGCCATTTTAAATGTGTATACAATTCAAAATCTAGACTTCTTACCTTGTGTAGCTCTTGCCCATGATTGTAAGTTACACCAGAGACAATTGTGACAAATGCCCCATACTGGTGTTCACAGCAGCAGAAATACCATTTGACAATCACTGTTGCTAAGTTAGAAAGTCAATGCTACATTCTCTTTGGCTTAATAAAAAGGAAAACAGAAATCACCCTAAAAATATCTGCCTACCTTCCTCTAATATACATCCTCACAGATTCCATAAAATAAAACTGCGAGGACTCTCCTGCTTCAGAGGCCTTGGCTGCTCTGTTATAGCTCCTACCACACTGCAGAAAACTGTTCATGCATCTATGTGCCATACTGGTGAGTGAGGGCTACCAAGTCTTAAATCACCTTCTATTCTTTATGTTTGCAGAAGTGTTAAGCTCGTGGTAGGTGCACAATAATTAATGAAAAAAAATCTATCTTTTGGATGGTGTTTTACAAAGAAATTCCACATGCATTTTAATTAATTGATTCTATAATCTTATGAGTAGATGTTATTATCATCATTCCCCTTTCATGGGTAGACTTCTAACTACTGAATCAAAGTCCTTATAGATTTCACAATCTGGCCCCTGGCTATCCCACTGATCCCTGCTTCTGCCAATCTTCCTTATCCCCAATAATTATTCTGCTCCACTAGACATGCTCCTGCTTCAGGGCCTTTGCACCTACCCCTGAGGCCTGGACCATTCCGATGTCACCTG